GCGCAAAACAACTGAGGCGGTGACGGGAAGGAGACTGGCAGGGCGCTTGCACGCCGCACACCACCGTCACCGCCTCGAATTAACAATAATCATGCTTGGTGGGACCGGTGAAGAAATAATATTAATAAAAATAGTAATAGTAATAGAAAAAGAAAAAGAAAAAGAAAGTTATAATACGGGGGTCTGTGCCTGATAAGAAAGACGCCTGGGCAGATGGACAGATGACGCGCTGCGGATGCTAGTACATGCCGCCCATGCCGCCCATGCCACCCATGCCGCCCATGCCACCGGCCGCAGGGCTCTCTTCCTTGGGCAAGTCCACGACAGCGGCCTCCGCAGTCATCATCAGGCTGGCGACGGAAACGGCGTCGGTGATCGCCACGCGGACGACGCGGGTGGGGTCAATGATGCCCGCCTCAAACATGTTCACGTAGCGGTCACGCTGCGCGTCGTAGCCAACGGCGGCCTCATTGGCCTCCAGAACCTTCTCCACCACCACGGCGCCCTCTTTCCCGGCGTTCTGCACAATTGTGTGCGCAGGCAGCCGAACGGCGTTGCGGATGATCTGCACGCCGGTGCGCTGGTCCGCCGTGAGTGACGAGTCACCGAGCAAGTTGTCAAGCGCCTTGCACGTGCGCAGCAGCGCCACACCGCCGCCGGGAACAATGCCCTCCTGCACGGCGGCGCGGGTGGAGCACAGGGCGTCAGTGATGCGGTCCTTCTTCTCGTTCACCTCCACCTCAGAGCCGCCGCCCACCCTTATCACCGCCACGCCGCCGCTCAGCTTCGCCAGACGCTCCTGCAGCTTCTCGCGGTTGTAGTCGCTCTTCTCGCCCTCCACCAGCCCGCGCAGCAGCTCCACGCGCTCCTTCACCGCGCTGCTCTCGCCGCCGCCGTTCAACAGCACCGTGTCGTCCTTCGTGACCGTCACCTTCTTCACACTGCCGAGGATTGCGGGGTCAAACCGCTCCGAGTCCAGCTCCACGCCACTGCCCTCCTCGCCGACGAGCTGCGCGCCCGTGAAGATGGAAATGTCCTGCAGCATCGCCGTCTTGTTATCGCCGAAGCCGGGGGCCTTGACGCACATGATCTTCAGCTTCCCCTGCAGCTTGTTGAAGATCATCGTCGTCAGCGCCTCGCTCTCCACGTCGTCGGCGATGATCAGAAGCGGGCGCCCAGTGCGCACCACGTGGTTCAGCGCCGGCAGGATAGTCTGGATGCTGCTCACCTTCTTCGCCGACACCAGCACGAACGCATCCTCCAGCTCGGCCTTCTGCGCCTTCGCGTCGGTCACAAAGTACGGGCTGATGTAGCCGCGGTCAATGCTCATGCCCTCCACCACCTCCAGCTCCGTCGACATCGTCTTGCCGTCCTGCGTCGTGATCACGCCGTCCTTGCCGACCTTCTCCATCGCCTGGCCAATCAGCTTGCCCAACTCCTCGTCGCCGTTGGCGGAGATCGTGGCCACCTGCACAATGTTCTCGGTGCTCGTCACCTTGCGGCTCTGCTCTGCCACACTCTGCAGGATGACGCCCACCGCACGGTCCATGCCGCGCTTCATGTCGATGGGGTTCGTCCCGGTCGCAATGCACTTGAGGCCCTCGCTGAAGACGCTTGCCACAAGCACCGCCGAGGTCGTCGTGCCGTCGCCAGCAAGGTCGTTGGTCTTGTTGCACACCTGACGCACCAGCTGCGCGCCCATGTTCTCGAACGGGTCCTTGAACTCAATCGCCTTGGCAACCGTGACACCGTCCTTCGTGATCTTCGGCGCACCGTACGTCTGCTCAATGATCACGTTGCGGCCCTTTGGACCAAGCGTCGTCGCAACGGCCTTCACCGCACGCTCCACGCCCTTCTGCATGGACTGGCGAGCCTCCGTGCCAAACCGGATCTCCTTGCCGGCGAAACGAACAACAGAGCGAAACATATCGCGTGTTGCACTTGTACGTTGGATTAGCAAAACAAAAACAAAACTCTGCAACAACAAAAACACCGGCAGGCCACAAACAAAAAAAAAGAAGGAGGGGAACATTGAAGCAGGCAAAAACATTGCGCAGAGGCCCCGGTAAAGGCCAAGTGGGCGGCAAACGGTACGCAACAGTCCCGAGGCTGTGCCGCAACGAACATAAACATAGATACCTCGAACCTTGTGCGCAAAACAACTGAGGCGGTGACGGGAAGGAGACTGGCAGGGCGCTTGCACGCCGCACACCACCGTCACCGCCTCGAATTAACAATAATCATGCTTGGTGGGACCGGTGAAGAAATAATATTAATAAAAATAGTAATAGTAATAGAAAAAGAAAAAGAAAAAGAAAGTTATAATACGGGGGTCTGTGCCTGATAAGAAAGACGCCTGGGCAGATGGACAGATGACGCGCTGCGGATGCTAGTACATGCCGCCCATGCCGCCCATGCCACCCATGCCGCCCATGCCACCGGCCGCAGGGCTCTCTTCCTTGGGCAAGTCCACGACAGCGGCCTCCGCAGTCATCATCAGGCTGGCGAC